TTTCGACTTGTTTTCCTTTCTTTTCAGTGCAAAGAATGTACCTTTAGTTGTTCAACAACTCTAGCTGACATTACTTTAAATTGCTTAATTTCCCCTTTTCTGGTAAAGCTTAGCACACTTTCAGGTTTCTCCATGTCTTCTTTATCTCTTCAACTTGAACAGTTCACTTTTGTTGTGTCCTTAAAGCAGAATTTGAATAGGTTCATCCTTCCAAATGCTTGTGATGTAGGATCTTGCTGGGTTATTTCTGGTATAGAACCAAACATGGTCGTCGTCTTTGTTTTCTTTCTTATTTTGTTTTCTTTAATTAATGTGAGTGTAATTTGCTTTATTTGGTGCTCTTTGATGAGTAAATGATCTTTTATTTCTCACCTTGTTGTTTTTTTATTTTTTTTCCTTTGGGTATTGAATCTCTCTATGCCCTTTCGCCATCACTATAAAGAAGAAGCATTTCATTTAGGGAGCCCTGGAATGTAATGGAAGAGTATTGTTCTTTTTCTTGCTTTATTCGTTTTGTGATATCTTTTGCCCCTTGCTTTTGGATAATGATTACCTTTTCTAATTGTTTTTATCGTTTCTTAAGATACTGGATAAAGTAAGGAGGAGTAGAGAAATATTTCTTAACTTTTCTGGGAAGGAAAGTTGAGAGAATGATCAGTCGATAGCTTTTTAATTATAGATCTTTAAATCTCTTAATTGTTGAAGTACCGGACACACTTGCCCCTGTTTTGGGTGCTTCGCAGAGAAGACTGCAGTAATCATTATTGTTTATGCATTGGAAAACTAAAAAACTTTTCATTTTTTTAAATTTAAGCTTACCAACAACTCGTGTAGATCTCATTTGATAGACATATAGCGAGTTGAAATGCTCTTTATATGAGAAATTGCTATGCCATGACTAGTGCATTTCAGAAATGAGAATGTTCATCTATTTTGCTATAATTAGCTTGTAACAGAGATCCATATGTTATTTTCATGAATTGCCTTATGTGCTGGCCGTCTAATGTTGTTTTTTCGTTTTTGTGCTGAAACAGAGGAACAGCAATACCTGAGGGCATACATTTTCATATAGCAAGTCCAAATCAACTCCCCCATGAAGTTCTTCCGGGCTTCAGTTATTCATTTATTCATCATCCTAACCATCATTTTTCCCTTTGCTATTTCTGACCTGAAGTCAGATAAGCAAGCTCTTCTTGACTTCGCTGCTGTTGTACCCCATTCAAGGAAGCTCAACTGGAACCCTGCTTCATTGGTCTGCAAGTCTTGGGTAGGTGTCACTTGCAATTCGAATGGCACTCGTGTGGTTGAACTACGACTCCCTGGAGTAGGACTTTTGGGTCATATCCCACCAAACACCCTTGGTAAACTAGATGCCCTCAATACTCTCAGCCTCCGATCCAATGTCCTCGAAGGTGACCTTCCTTCTGATATTACCTCTCTTCCATCACTCCAGAACCTCTTCCTCCAACATAATAACTTTTCTGGTGGCGTTTCAACCTCCTTTTCCTTGAACCTCAATGTACTGGATCTCTCATTCAATTCTTTCACAGGCAACATTCCCCAAACAATAGCAAATTTAACACAACTTACTGGATTAAGCCTCCAAAATAATGCTTTTTCTGGACCCATACCTGATCTCAACCACACTAGGATCAAGCATTTGAATTTGAGCTACAACCATCTTAATGGATCAATTCCAGTGTCTCTTCAAAAGTTCCCTAATTCATCCTTCATTGGAAACTCTCTCTTATGTGGACCACCTCTTAATCCTTGCTCCATAGTCCTTCCTCCTCCCCCATCTCCTGCTTACATTCCCCCACCAGCAACTCCACATAAGCGAAGCTCAAAAGTGAAACTGACAAAGGGAGCAATCATTGCCATTGCTGTGGGAGGGTCTGCTGTGCTGTTTCTTGTCGTTTTAATCATCTTGTGCTGCTGTTTGAAGAAAAAAGATAATGAAGGCTCTGGTGTGTTGAAAGGGAAAGCAGTTAGCAGTGGCAGGGGGGAGAAGCCCAAAGAGGATTTTGGAAGTGGGGTTCAAGAACCTGAGAAAAACAAGCTGGTATTCTTTGAAGGCTGCTCTTACAATTTTGATCTTGAGGATTTATTAAGAGCTTCAGCTGAAGTTTTAGGAAAGGGTAGTTATGGTACAGCATATAAGGCTGTCTTGGAGGAATCAACCACAGTGGTGGTGAAAAGGTTGAAAGAAGTGGTGGTGGGAAAGAGGGACTTTGAGCAGCAGATGGAGATTGTGGGGAGAATTGGGCAGCACCCAAATGTTGTGCCCCTTCGTGCTTATTATTACTCAAAGGATGAGAGGCTTCTAGTGTATGACTATATCCCAGGTGGCAGCTTATCCACGCTTTTGCATGGTATGTCTTCAGCTCTATTAATGATGCTTAGAGTTTGCTTTAGAAACTGATGAAGGATGCTTTCAGTTATTTTTATTTTACACTACAAGAACACTAGCATGACCAGAATGCTGATAATACTGTGAAGCCTTTGGCACATTGCCACTGACGTTTACCAAATTTACTTTCCTCAGTTTTTCTCATCTGCTTTGGGAAAATAAAAACCATTTTCTGATATCCTACATGGAGGATTAGCACGGTAATCTTGTATCATGCCAAAGAATAGCACTATGTATTTCCTTGCATTTCTCGATCAATGTTCTTAGACAAGTAGTCCACATTCCTAGGAGAGATGATTCTTGCCACACACGCATACAAGGACTAAACAATTAGCGTTAGGAGATCATCTTCCATGGCATTCATCAACCTATAGTCCTTGACAATTTGGCATGGAATTTAAAACCGCTGCTTTACTAATATCCTAAACTCTATTCAAATTTGACAACAGCAAACAGGGGAGCTGGCAGAACTCCACTAGATTGGGACTCTAGGGTTAAGATTGCCCTTGGTACTGCACGGGGAATTTCCCACCTTCATTCTGCTGGTGGTCCAAAGTTTACTCATGGAAATATCAAGTCGTCAAATGTCCTTCTCAGCCAAGATCATGATGGTTGCATCTCTGATTTTGGCCTGACCCCTCTTATGAACGTCCCTGCTTCTTCATCTCGGAGTGCTGGTTATCGTGCTCCTGAGGTGATTGAAACCAGTAAGCACTCTCATAAATCAGATGTCTACAGCTTTGGTGTCATCCTTCTCGAGATGCTGACTGGGAAAGCTCCAATCCAATCACCAAGGCGTGATGACATGGTTGATCTCCCAAGATGGGTCCAATCAGTTGTAAGGGAGGAGTGGACAGCTGAGGTTTTCGATGTTGAACTGATGAGATACCAAAACATTGAAGAAGAAATGGTGCAGATGTTGCAAATTGGGATGACCTGTGTAGCAAAGGTGCCAGACATGCGACCTAACATGGAAGAAGTTGTTCGAATGATTGAAGAAATCCGGCAATCTGACTCAGAGAACCGGCCATCATCTGAAGGGAATAAGTCCAAGGACTCAAATGTGCATACTCCATGATTGACTAAATTGTTGCTGCTTGATTTTAAGATCAAGATTCAAAAAGTGCTATGAGCACCTGCCTTGTAAGGTTTCTCGAGCATTTATTCAAGCTTATGTGTATGTGCAGCATCATAGAGTGTGAATTTGTCTCAATTTTTTTTCCTCTTCTTTTTTCAGATATGTAGCAGTGCTTTGATTTTTAATTTTTAAGTCTGATTAGCTGGAAACCTCTTGATTTGTTGTAAAACTTCATTCAAAAATTGTGAATGAATTGATGAGACCTTGAATCAAGAACACTCTCATTTTTTTCTGCCTTTGCTGTTGAAGGTACTGCCTGTTTCTTGTCATTACAGCAGCATCTTAGATTCTTATCCATCTTCAGGGAAAATGACACTTACGAGGGTTCTCTTCTGGTTTGCCCTAGGAAATCATGATTCGCTCTGAGCCAAAGCATGATAAGATCAGTTTTTGACTGCATGAGATTATCGGCACCTAATATGTATGACATGCGATTCTAATTTTAGTCAAGGACATTGATTTACGAGGATTTTATTTTATTTTATTGCTGAAAAAAGGGCATGAATATGGTTTCTAGGATCCAAAATGGTGGTGGACATTGATTTTCTGGCAACCAGAAACAACTCTAGTCAAAGAAAAGGACAGCCGATGGATGACACATCATTTGCGCATGTTGGCGACACATCATCCGTGTAAATTTTTTTAAAAAAAAAAAACATAAAATCCTCCCCATGAAACAGGTGCTTGGCCTAACACAAACTAAGCGGGCATTGCTCTTTTAGACGGAGGAGGAGCATCCCTAGAAATGGCTAATTCTGATGTGAGCAGTTATGGATCATCAGTTCCACCTTGCACCCTCCTCCTTCCCAGTTTTCTTCGCATATGAACTGTAAGAACCAACAGAGCTGGTTCACGTGTCGTTTTTCTTCCTCTGATATATACATCCTTTATGAGTAGTATCTGAACGAAAGGAGAGAAGAAAGCACAGTTTAAGATGTTTTGTATGTTGTGCATGGATGATCCTGGGAATACCTGCGCTTGCTATCATCGTGCTTTCTCTTGGTGTTTCTGATGAATTCGTGAAAGAACTTCACGCAAAAATTTGGTTTTTTATGGTTTGCTGCAAAACTGGGCAGAATATGTGTAAGAGAGTGCCTCGAAAAATAGACTATGTATCTAGAGATTCTGTGTAGGCTGAGAGTACGTGTCCTTAAAAAGTTAGCCATTGCCTCTGCTTGTGACATTGGGTGTATTTATTTAAATACCTTTAATTTTTTTTTAAGTTTTATTGATGTTACGATAATAATTATTTTTTAAAATTATATTTTTATAAAATATATTAAAATAATATTTTTAATAATTACACATTTTAAAAATAAAAAAATAATTTAAAGTAAAGAAATAATTTTTTATAATATTATTTCATTTTCAAAAAATTATTTTTAAAATTAACCCATTAATACAATTTAAAAAATTAATTTTTAAAAAAATATATTATCTAAAAAAAAAATCAGAAAACGCAGTCTGAACCCAAAAAACAAAAAGCCCAAAGGTAAAATCTTTCCCCTCAGCTGTCCTTAGATTCCAAAAATCTTCTCTTGGGTAATTACTACCTCTCCCTTTTTTTGTATTTACTTATAGAGCTGCCCTTTCGCTCATCTGGATTGTCTTTGTTTCCTTATTTTGATGTTAGTCGGTGGTTCAGTCAGTCAAGATTTGATTTTTGGCTTCTGATTCCATGGGCATCTTGAAAGAGCTTAAGGACTTGCAGAAAGATCCACCTACCTCTTGCAGTGCTGGTATGCTTCCTATTCTTTTCTCTTTTCCCTTAAAAAGAATATCATCTTTGAAGCTATTTTCTCTTTATTATTAAATTATTTGCTGACCCTTTTGCACTTGAGAGCTGATTTTGTGTATACTTGTAGAATTTGATGGAAAGTCTCGATCTTTTTGGCCCGTTCACTTGTTTTTTTTTTTTTTTTTTTTGAATTAACGTGGATGTCCGATAAATGGTTGGAATTTTAGGTCCAGTAGATGAGGACATGTTCCATTGGCAAGCAACAATTATGGGACCTGCTGATAGCCCATAAGCTGGAGGTGTCTTTTTAGTTTCTATTCATTTCCCTTCTGATTATCCTTTTAAACGCCCTAAGGTATATTATTTTTTCCGTGCCTCTTTGTTTTTTTTTTTTTTTTTTGTAAGAAGCACCCTTGAGAGTTAAGTATCTATATAACAAGTTTTGGGTTTCCTTGTCATCGAGAGAAGGAAAGAGAAATATTGTTTTCTCGTACCTTCATTATCACTCTGGAAAACTATTTATTGCTGATATTTGTTGAAGGGTTGAAATTTGCTCCTGCATTAGATGTAGGTTTCAAAAAGTAAAATGAAAGGTATTAATGGAAATGATATTGTGAAAGTTCATATCAGTGCTTGTGGTGGGCACTAATGTCTGATAATGTAATGTGCTTTCTGTATGCAAACAATTGGCTGTAAGTTTCTGTGTTTAGTTGAAATTTAGAAAAAGTTACATAGGAGATGTAGCTACTAGTCTGAATAAGATCAGAGGGCAGCACAGAAGTAGGAAGGGCTTTCTAGATAGTTCTTATAATCCTGGATGCTATAGCCAAGCTTTATATATTGTGCTGAACTTCAAGCCCAAAAGAGCTATTATATTGGAGAGCAGCTCGATAACACTCAGAGATTGCATGAAATAGAGTTGCTATCAAATATCAATTACACAAGCCTTAAATATTATAGGGTGGCATTATTGTTGGAATTTGAATCAATGTAGGCAGTATTTAGATGAGTAGAAGTGCTGTGCTTTCATGTTCTACATTTATTGGTTGTTAGGTATTAATTGAGATATTTTAGACCAATGATACATTGGATAACAATGTTATATCCACTTAACTAGGATTACAAAAACTAATAAAAAGTTTTGTTCAATCATATGATAGAATAGCAGAAATAACATGTAGCTAATCCCATTTAGTTTGGACCAAAGGCTTGCTTAACTTGATTTGCACAGTGAGTTCATGTATTGTATCGTCAATAGCTTGTGTTTTGTAGAAGTTGATTAGACTATCTGGATTATATGCCTCAGGTTGCATTGAGGACATAAAGTCTTCCACCCAAACATTAACAGCAATGGAAGCATATGTCTGGATATTCTAAAAGAGCAGTGGAACCCAGCACTAACCATTTCCAAGGTTTGATATGACCATTTCCCTTTTTGACTTATCTATTCAGCCATTTGCTGATGTTGAAACTCTTCTTAATCTGTTTACTTGTTTTGTGTTCCATGTGCATAGATCAAATGTTTAGAATGATAGCCGAGACACCAAAATACCTTGTTCATTGTTATCCATTGGTAATGACCATCTGGCTCTTTGATTTATGCTGAAAGTATAAACATAACATGCACAATTACACAAATGTGAATTTAAACAGAACTTGTACCTAGTTTAGGATTTAAGGTGTGTAACAGTGAGGTGAGGGTGGATGGAACACTATTGTGAGGTCCTGAAGGTTCCACATTTATGCAAGAGTTTGTGCTATCAATATGAAGGAACTTGTGGTGATCATTGGTTATGAACAGAAAAGAATATGGGAGTAACCATTAATGATAAGGTCTTGGAAGGCCTGCTAGCCATTTTCTAATATGTATAAAAGAATGCAATTGATAATGTCTTGGACTGCATCTGAACACTATAACGAGCAGATCTTCCCCTATTTTCAATGTTCATTTTCCCTGTGGTGATTAGAGTGAATATCATGGTGCTACTAATTTCATGCACTGATGACTTTAGCTTTTGCTTTCTGATATCTATGGAGTATGTTAATTGTGAATTATACTAGCATTTTTATTAGGCCTTCACGAATTTGAGATGTAGACTTGGAATATTGTGGTGTACATCTGTTTCTCTAACACACACCGGTGTGAACTTGTTATTGATTGATGTGGATATGGTGATCTGTTACTTTCCTACTTTTCTGAATAGGTATTTGTCCAGCCCCTATTTCCTTGTCTTGAAACCAAGGTGAAGAATAATTGTAAGACTTCGGTAGCAAATATGGAAATATGGATTTCTTGTAAGAAAATATAATGTAACAGAGAATAGGATTGGAGAGGAAGATTCTTCATGACTTGTTTCTCTTATGCAATTTACTGTTGGTTATGTAGGATAATTCATGCCTGAACCCCAGCAGTTGGGCTTTGCGTGGTGACTTTATTTGGCAGAATTTTATGTTATTTGTGCTTGCGATATTTATTATATTGATTTTGTCTGCATCAGTTGGTATCAAAGCTCTAAATCAGTTGATATCAAAGCTCAACTATTCCTGGTGGTCGGTTATTGGTTGAATAACTATTGCTGGAAAAGGTCGCAAAACAGGACATGCTAGGATCGGATGAGGAGGTTCTCTCAGGAAAAAAATGTTCATGAACCTGTGATGGAAGACATGCAAAGAAAAATTATAAAAACAACTTGTTGACTGGCGGTGGTGCAGTTTCAAAGGTAAGTTGAATAATTATCCCGTCAATTAACAAAGATGAAGAAGAAAAAACTAGAAGTTCTTGAAGAGAGTGATCACAAATCTATGGTTAATTAACTCATTTTAGAAGCATGAGCAAATAAGATAGTTTTTTTATTGGGATGAGTATCATGGAGATTTTGATGAGCCCATTTATGATGAGATAAATATGGATTGGTATCTTTGATCAATTTATAATGTTTATTTTGATAATGATAGCATAAACAATAACAATGATGCTGTCATCAATAGTGTCCTCATTGGTATGTTAGTGGTTAAGTGTAAATACAACATGGAAGGTGTTCAACCAAAAAAAATTGTTGATTTGATTAAAAGTTTATTATTATCACAAATATAGATTTTTTTCTAGGATTGTGAGACTACAACATATGTTGAGAAAACAAGTTTGAGATTTGTTGTTCATTACTCTAGAAGTTAGTTGAAGAGAAATCATTTATCAATCGATGTTTCTTATGCAAAATTTAACTTGAATGGATTGAAGTTAAACATCAAAAATTAGTATGCACTTGAAGCGAAGAAAGAAAAGAGGTTGATAAACCTTGATTGGACATCTACGTGCCTCGAGAACGAGTTCTTTCCAATCTGAAGAGACTGATGTAAGGGGTTTTTAGGGGAATATATTTGTTTCCTTAGTTATTTTCATTCTATTTTGATTAGAAATCATTTTTTTCTTATTTATTTTTTTCTTATTTAGTTTAGTCCTAGGACAATGATAAATAGGATTGTTTAATTTGTATTTAAAAAGACTGCTTACATAGAATTGTATAGCAATACAATTTCAAATGAGGGTTTTTATATAATGATTCTATTTAGCAGAATTTTGTGTTGCTTATATTTGCAATCCTTTTACTGCAGACTCAGAGTTGGGAAGAAACTGGTCTGCTAGGTCTCTGAATATCTACTATTTGAAAGCGTAGAAGGGGGGAAGGGAACGTGATGTAATATTGCCCTGTTGTTAGAATTGTCAGCTTGTTTATTTGTTATTTAAATACTCTCATTAGCTGTTGAATGCTAGGAGTGCTGATCCTGGTATACTTGTGCTTTTAGCAATTTGGACAGATACAGGCATAACCTTCATTAAAGCATTAATGTACTCATAATTTGCCGTTTTATGGATCTAATTACTGTGCGCACATCTATGACTATCGAAGCCATTGACCCAGTATGTTGTGCTTCAATATGATATGTTTCACAACCAGTATCGTCTTGCTCTGCAAAGAATGGTAACCCTAGAGTTTTGGTTCTGGTTCTGGTTCGTACTAGCCATATTCTTTTTCCATGCGCCAACAAATTTTGGTAAATTAATTGATAAGTTGAAAGAAAAGAGATGCCTATGAGAATTACAAGATGGTGAACTCAAAGGGATCCCTTCTTGCGAAAAAACGCAACTAAACTGTGATGTGGACTCGAGGCCACCGTTGAAAATGCCTTGACATGGTTCCTCGATATCTCTGCTTGTTTGGGGTTGATGATAGTCAAGGATAATACATAGCACAATCCAAGTATATATATATATATAGGATTGGACTGGTAGCTTATCTAGATATTGGCTTGTTTAGCAAATGGAATACAAATTATTTGTTTGACAAAAAAGAAATGTAAACGTGATTGCGATGGGTTAACCACGGTAGGATTAAAGCTTAACGGAATCTTGTCATCTCGTTGTGACAGCACCAGGCTAGGTGGAAAGCATGTTCTTCGAATTTAAGCTATGATACTGTTCTTGACTTCATAATTCAATGACATTAATTTGTGAGGTGCGTGTTCTTATTACAAGTAGGAGGTAGGGCATGAGATCATGGAATCCCCCAAATCATTTGACGTTGTTGGAAACCTAAGATATACTGTTTAAGAGTAAAAGGCATCGCCTTATCACCTGTCAACAAGCAATGAGGGCCTCCCTGCTGCAACCTCTAATGCATAATATTACATGATTGCTCCACACATGCATGCTGTCTACTTGGGCTTGTACCCATCATCCCTTGCTTCCTCTCCAAGCGAATGAAAACCTCCCACAACTTCACTAGCATTAATTCTCAACGTTAATTTGGTTTAATCATAAACTGAAAACGATGGAATGATCAGTTGATTCTATCATTAATCTATTGCTTTCAAAGTATCGATCTTTTTATGCCTTTACATACCCTACTTCGAAACAGAGGTCAATTGATGAAATAATTATATCATAATCTAAACACCAGAGAGATTCAGCATTTTCTATGTAGTGAAGAGAGGTTATACAAATTACTAACAAAAACAAAAATCCATGCTTGAATTAACATGGTGGTTGAGAAATGTCTGATGAAACCCAAATACCACAGGCACAAGGATCTTGTCGTTAACAAATTGTAATGTTATACGTTTCTCTTCTTAAAAGATGTTGAATTCAAAATCTTATTCTTTTATATGTAAGTTGACGTGGATATACAGCTAGCAAGCTCATGATATGTGGAAGAAGATACTCCTCCTAACAAAGAAGGATGGTTGTGACTTTCTTCTTGCTTGAAATGGCAGCGCACGCATTTATTCATCGTACTAGCATATGTTTTCTTTATCTCTATGGAATCCCCCTTCGCCACGGAAAAGAGGTCGGTTCGGTTATAATGATGAGCTATCCATCCATCTCAAAAGTTTTTGAGTCACCATTTTCACGGCGCAGACAAAGTAATTTCCTACTTCGATAGGAGCTACCGCCTAGCAAGCTAGCTACTAGCTTTCATTCTCCCACTTCGATCTTCTTATACATGCATAGTATATGGAAACTTCACTAAGAAAGACTGCCACCGAAAAGTAGAGGCGACCTCATAATAAATTAATTACCATAGCCGCTACCATTGTAAGAGAGAGAATTTGGAGTGGGGTACTGACCTGAGCTGGGTTGATTCAAAGAAATTGACATGCCAGGAATAGCCCTTTTGACGCGTCAGGAGAGGCAGCTGGAAAACATTTTTTTTAATTTTTCTTTTTTTAAATCAACTTTTTCTATAATTTTTTAATTATTTTAATTTGATAATATCATAGATAAATTTTAAAAAATCAAAAAAAAATCAAAAAACCAACCATTATAATAAGAAAATATCGCACCTAAGCTAAGTTAGTAGTAATTCAAGGGTCCTTCCGTGCATTACACACACACACACACACACAAACACACACACGTACGCACATGCCTATATCTTACTCCGTAGATCTCTCTCCAAATCAGTCACCCTTTTCAATGGCTACTCTCTCTCTCTCTCTCTCTCACACACACACACCCAGAGTGAGTGAAGATCACTGAACTGCAGCAAGACACAAGTCTTTTTCTAGTTTCCCGCCAAAAGCTTTCCACCCTTAATTTGCAGCTTCAAGCTATCTAACTTCTTGATCAAACCCGGAGTTGCTGGTGTCACCTTGTCACCTTCTTCTAACTCCTCGAAGCGCAAGCTATAGCTTCTCTTTTTGTCTCTGTATTTGTCACTAGCTACTTATATAATCCCTCCAACTCTAGAGATCCAATTAAGCTTAGTATAAAGTACTTCCTTCAGTTTTTTCCTTCCAAGAAACCAATTAGAATCTTCATCGTTGATCACCCAATTAAATTAAGCTAGCTAGACCCTACCTGAGCCGGTCAGTACATGGTTTTGCCGCTATGTCTTGACCCCCTTCTTAATTGAATGCAAAAACCAACCCTTGGTACCCCCCACCATGCATCTTCTATTCCTCGATGAATTACAACCCATGTTTACCTCCAACGCCACCATGTCCGTTCAACCAAAAGTCAAATTTACTGAACATGTATTCATCACTAGTAAGCTCATCGAGAACCAGCAGCTGCATCCTTCTTCAAGAACCCGCCAAAGACTTGTTAGAATCATCCATACCGACCCTGATGCCACTGATTCCTCCAGCGATGAAGAAGAGGGAGAACAAGAAAGGAAGTTTGTCAAGAGAGTGAAGAGACAAGTGAGTGAAATAAGCTTGTTAGAGCAAGAAACAACAGCACCAGCAGCCCCTTCTTCCACAACTTCAAATGATGGTCAAGAACCAAGAAGAAAGAGACCTTCTTCAAGATTACCGGTACCTGAAGTATCTCGTCAGAAAAAGTTCAGGGGTGTCCGTCAGAGACCCTGGGGAAAGTGGTCCGCCGAGATCCGTGACCCGACTCGACGGAAACGGGTCTGGCTCGGCACTTTTGACACTGCAGAGGAAGCTGCTACAGTATATGATCGAGCTGCATTGAAACTAAAAGGACCCGACGCCGTTACCAACTTTCCTACTAACTCCGTTATAACGGAGAAAGCTCACGTTAACTCCGGTTCAAGTGATGTGAAGTGTGTACCGCGGGAGTCGCCGTCTATCAGGGGTCCTGCTAACGTTATGGCATCACCCCCATTAGTCCTCCGTTACGTAGATTTGACACCGTCTGACCTTGTTTTAACGGAGAAGGCTAAGGTTGTTGACGGTCAGCGCGAGTCATGTGAGTCGCCGTTAAGTGGTGTTCACGATATGTCATCACCGACGTCTGTTCTCCCAGACGAAGAGTTATCGCCGTTTGATAGTTTGGGTTACGGAGACGTTGACGCTTTTGGGTTCGAAATTGACGTGCCGTTAAGTTTGCCAAATTCTATGTTGTCGGGGAATTTCTTCGACAAGGAAGAATTCGTTGACCTGGATGATTTCTTGGTGGACGCCATCTGTTAAAAACATATCCTCAATTTTGTGAAAGTTTGGGGAGTCTTTTGTAATTTGATACAACCCTATCGTGATGTGGCATGCCATGATTCGTGATTAAAGGCGCTAAGTGAATAGAAAGGGCGCCAGATATAGAGTTGGAATACCTAAAGCGTCCCTTTATTTTTTACGTTAAGTTTTTGGTTTGATTAGTCAAACTACGGAGTTTAAGTATATAGTGGAGTATTAATTAGTCCATATTTAGTGATTTATATGGCGATTTTGTCAGTTCCTGTTGTTATTAAGGATTTTTGTGTACTCAAGGCTAATAATTTATACTATTATTATTTGATTAATTGTAGATTATATTATAATTTTTCATTTTGTATTTTAGTCTTTTCAAATAAAAAAAAAGATAAGATTTATTAAAGTTTTTAGTGGAGGTTAGGTAATGTGGTGTATATGTTTTTATAAAATTATTTTTCAATTAAAAATAGATTAATAAATAAAAAATAATTTAAATATATTAAAATGATATATTTTAGTCTTTCATTTTGTATTTTAATATATTTTAAAATACTAGCACAGGTATAAAACTTACAACCGTAAAACATACTCAAAACTCTTTTATTTTGATCAGATGATCAAGTTTTGATGAATAATGATAAATTTTTGATTAAATCTATAAAAATTCTAGCTTCAAACCTAATAAATATCCCCTGAAAATCAACCAAGGATAGAAAGTAGAGAAAAAGATAAGGAAGAAAGGAGAAAAAACTTATTCTTGGAATTCATTAGTAATCAAGTTTCTTGTTCGTCATTTAAGAGTTCAAATGATAAGTTAAAGTTTGAGAAAAGATTGGATTTTCAAAGGAAAAGGGACAATAATTATTGTGACTTCTGAAAAGGTATAATCCTTCACTAACCTAGCAAATCATATCTATAAAGCACATCTCTAGCTAATTTTATATGTTTAAAGATGTTTTTAAACTTCATTTAGTGTTATGATGTTTTTTAGTTTGATTCCAATTCATATATAAAATGTTTGTTATTATTGGTTAAATTTTGCTTGGAGTTGTTATTGATGTTATTGCATGCCAAGATAATATGTTTGTGATTGATTTTAATAAAATAAAATGGTTTTATAGTTTGCTAAATATGGCAATAGGTCTTTGATGTCTTTTTAAGGCTTATTGATGAATGTTATAGGTTCCTCGTTTTTGTTTAGATTATGTTAAGTGTCAAGATGTTAATTTCAAATCCAAATCACATAAATACATAGTTTGTTTTAAGTTGATAGTTTTGAAGATTGGAACCTCTTGCGTGATTTGAATATTTTAATGTCATTTGTTAGTTTTTTTTATTCAAATATGTTTATTAATGGTAGTGTGACTTGATAAAATGAAGAAAGCGTGTTTTTAAAAAAATCAGATTTAAAGGCTTAATAGTGGTTGGGTTTATTT